TTCTGTACTCATATCGTCCTGCGGTGAAGAAGTAAAGTGTGTTTTCGGGATCAAAATCGTTGTGTCCATAGAAATGACCTCGGACGAAATCGTGGATTTTCTCCTTTGCTTGTTGATGCAAGTTTTGGAACTCGTGCATGGCAGAGAATTTGGTGACGTTTAGACCATTGGGAAGAACACCATCTGGCTTTCTCTTCAAGAGATGCTCGGATTCATATGCTGTGATGTGTGAAACAGTGGTGAAGACATCACAAGAATGGGTCGCTGCACGTTCTATGCAGTATCTGTGATAAATACCACGTTTTCCGGCCTCGGCATCCACGTCAAACCATTGTAAGTTGTTGTAAAAGTCGACTGATCCTGCACAGAGATATCTTCCTAGGAGAGTTGCGTGGGTAGTGAAAATAGTAGTAACATCGATACGGCGCTTTTTGCAGAGAGGAAGCGCGACACCAGAGAGCCATTCGTGGAAATGTGCGATGACGGCCTTTTCTTTTTCATGTGCGACGAACTGTAGACGTGTTAGTTTTTAGCAATCAATCAATGTGCATGGCGTTATGCAATGCAAATGCACTCACCTCTCCTAAGAACCACGCAACCAAGTAACCGAAGACAACTGCTTCGTTGGTTTCGTCATCACCAGGCGGAGATGGAATTCCAGCAGTATTCCACAAGTCGGCCTTCCACTCATCCAAAAATCTGTAGGCACTCTTGGTGTCTATCAAGAGAACTCGTGGAGCACCTTCAATCAACCAGCGGCCATATACCATTTGAATTCCTCGTTCTTCCATAGCTTCTATCGTTGCTGCAAGGTGGGGGTTCGTTGGTGTTAATGCCTCGACTTCGACGGCCGCCTATCAAATGTGAGCCATGCTTCCCAAAAATGATTTTAATACTTGGAACTTACCGATTGCCTGTTGAGAGGACCGATGAGAGTGTATCGGTCTCCATATTCTGCTGTGGTGACTGGGGCTTTTGATTTGATGACGGAATAGATACCACCAACTTTAAAAGGGAGAACGTCAGTAGATCTTCTTCACATTCTTTGCCATGAAGGGTTGTTTCGCACCTCGATTAGCAACCTCGGTGGCTATCTCAAAGAGAAAGTGATTTTTGACATCTCGGTTTGTTTTTCCCGACATCTTGACTCAGGTTGCGACAGATGTCGCTATGTGAATCAGTTGTTAAAGTGGGGGTGGATGGGAAACTGCAGGCTTGCAGATATTTGAGAGGATGGTAAACAAAGTTGAAGATCCAAAAAGTTTGTATGATGGGAAGGCAGAACGTATGTGTAATGTAGAAGAGATACTGCTACTGCAAATAACAATTGTTGGATGCTTCTTTCTAATCAAGTTTTGAGTCTTCTTGGATGAGAGTTGTTGTGTGGTGATCAAGGAAGGAAGCTCGGAGCTCCTCTGACGAAATTTATGGGAATGGTAGAACTAAGAGAGCTTTCCCCACAACTGCATTAGCGTTTACCGTATGTCAATCTGGGTGTACGAATGACCTCTGCTTGTTGTTGGTGTTGTTGTACAGATCATAGGGAAGAGAAAGAAACACCAGTCACGTAGGAGGGCAGTGGTCGTAACCCCTCCATACTCTGGCAGTGAATTTGAAATTGGTTCTTTGGGCGGAAATACTTACGACGGGGTTCAATTGGCTCCCACTCGTTCTTGAGATGGTGATTGTGGATGGATGGATCGATGCGTGGATGGATGGATGGGTAGAAAGTTGATCAGACAACTATGAGATGGATGATATATGATAAGCCCGAGGCTAATATACAGACTGACAAGATGGATAATGGATTGTACAACAAATAAGTGAAGAATTTTTTTATAAAAAAAAATTCCCTTCTGCTTCCGTGTACACGTCGTTGGCCACCTAACGATTACGATGGAATGAATGAATTGAGAAGAAGAAATGGTTGAATTTTTGGAAGATTGAGATTGGAAGATATCTCACCAGTTTTTGTCTCTCCAATTTCCCTTTCCCGGTATCGAGCGATAAAAAAGAAATCGGAAGGTTGGCCCAGATGTTGGTCGGGGTCCAAGCTTTTCCTATTTCAGCCATGACACGACCCTAAGCTACATACGGTAGCATGATGGAATTGTTATATGGGATCTGGAGGGGTATGGGCTATCTGATTGGTTATTCCCCCCGCCGATATGGGCACATTGGGGGGAAACCGGAGGAGGCGCTTTACTCTGGAAATGTTTAAGATCAAACCTCTCAAACCTCTCAAACCTCTCAATCCTCTGAATCCTTGTTTAACATGTTGAACATGTTGAACATGACGCAGACGGGATCTTGAAGCACTGCAAGCAAGCAATAAAAGCAATTTAGCAAAGCGCCTGTGTAGATAATAGATATGTGACTATACTCGGTATGTCGTCGCTCCTGCAAACACCTCTTCGTGGTCTCCCTTTTCCGTCACAATCCGGTCACTTCTTGCTAATTCTTCACAAAGGGTTAAACTCTTTCGATATATGCACGAATGTGCCAATGGATTCGAATTTGTGCAAATCGGTGCGGGGTTGATGGTTGACGGTTTACAAGGAGAGCACCCATCAGTGCCTACCTAGTACCTACACATCGGTACGGTATTCCTTTTTCACTAGCAAATCAACTTTTTTTCCCTTTCCTTTCCTTTCCTTTCCATTACGATACTAGCAACCACCATATCCGTATACGGTCTACCCCAGGCAGGCTACTATCTAGGCTACTATCTACACGATACCTTTCTTGGCTCCCAGGAATCTCATGTATGCCACAGTGCGAAGTATGTGTTCTCTTAGTTCTCTTAGTCCTCTTACGTCTCTTCCGTCTCTTACTCTTACGTCTCTTCCGTCTCTTACTCTTACGTCTCTTCCGTCTCTTCCTTCTCTCGGTCCTCTTACCTTTCTTACCAAAGCAATGAGATATTGAACCCTAGTCAAACATTCCCAATCATCAAACGTATACCCTCCAAAAGGCAAACACGTTCAATCCCATCGGGTCAGCTCATGCATCTCTATCGACATGATGCTCAGTGAGAGACTGAGAGTCCTCCCTAATCGTCATGTTTACCACTTTCCCATGCCACCCTGCCATTGTTGTCATAAACACATGCACAACACATCTCCCTAGGTACACAATTTCAAGAATACCACACAACTGCGTAAATCTCCACCTAAAAAGAAAAGAAAAAATAACCATTCCACCCCATCCCACTTCTCCAAATCTCCAAGTCTCCAGATATCCAATCTCCTTTCTTCTCTCTTGCCTTCCAGCGATGATCCTTTCACCATGGATCCGCTTTAATTCGGCCACAAACTCTTTGAACATACTCCGCGTTTGGGATCCACTTCCACAAATCCACATTTTGCTTAAGAAAGTTGAAAACCCCCCTCCTCCTCCCCCCCCCCCCAGATCAAAATTTCATGCAGCTAATCCGTTCATAGTCACCTGATGCTTATTTAAGGTCTCAAATCTTGGTCCCTTGAATCCTTAGATCGGTCCGGTCTCTTTTGGTCAAGACCCATGGCTTTTCAAAGCTTCATCGGCAATCCCGCGATATTTGATGGGATTCACAAGAGTGAAGAATCTTTCTTCTTCATATTTCATATTAATAATAATCTTACATCCTTAAAATTGTCTTCAGTTCCTATCATGCCCGAATCGCTCATCACTCTCATCACAATTCTTCAGCCCAACAATAAACCCCCAGCAAGTTTAGGCGTCACTCGTTGAGAATATCGCAAAAATGAACGAGAAGCACGAGAGACACTGCCTGTCATCAACAAAAATTTGGGGAAAAAACATCCCTTCACTTCACCGAACAAACAACAAGAGAAGTATCCGAGTCACCCTGGTTAACCTTTTTCTCTATGCTTTGACGCTGCTAAGCGCCTCTATCAGCGAGGGTTATTACGAAAATAAAACGCATGTCAACATGCCATGCATCCCTAGGCTCTCTTCGAACCAATCGCTTCTATATTGGGCATTGAGACATATTTTTTTTCCCCGACTGATTTACTTCATGTCGATCAAAAAAGTCAGTAATGTACCATTTCCGAAGTGGCTATGTATTCGTTGGCGATGCAGATGTGTTGATACCTTCCTTCATCTAATAAACCTGTTAACGCTCACTGTGCAAGTACCATGGTGAACTTTGGGATCTCTAGGCAGTCAAGTACCTGCATTTAGGTGCAGCCCAAAAGTTTTGACTCATTGTTCTCAAAGATAATGCAAACTCGTGGGGTTTTACCCTCAAGATGCATGATTTTGAGATTGAGAAAAGTTTGTTTTTCCAACAGAAATCCAGTGATGCTACAAAACATCCACAAAAATGAGTTGATGCAATTTTCCCTCTGGAAACTCAATTTGAACATTTATCTAGACGAACGGGATGATTGTCCGAAAACCCGAAATCAAATCAATTCTTTTCAGACAACGAACATAGTTTCTATCGTTTCTTTGGTCGAGTACAAAGAATTTAGTTCCTGCGCAGCGAGTCCTATTCTGTTAGTCTCGAGTCCCCGAAAAGCTTGTTGCGTTTGCTCTTCATCTTATTTGAGAGTATGCATCCGCAAGCTCATTCTCCACATCACAAATTGAAACCAATAAAATGGAAATAGAATCTCCATGTCTAGGTTTGGCGCGAGCACCGGATAATTTCCCGTCTAAGTATGTTTTTTATTGTTCCAATCAAGTTAACTGGGGTGTTCTTCGATAGGTCTATTTTTATCCTGTGGGAACAAAGAAATATTCATTATCTATTTGCCCTCCCTCTACCGAAGAGGTCATTTTGCTACCATCACAAATTGTCTATCTATTTCACTCTTCCTAAGTCATTGGGGAAAATCATTTTTTGTAAATCAGTACTTTTTTTGGTTGTTTTGGGGGGTTTTCTTGTTGCCAGAGTTCCATGGGTTTATCTTTCTCCGCGCAGGGTATATCACCAGGATATATCTACGGCTTACCTTATTTAACCATGTGAAAAGTCATAATGAAAAAGTCTACTCCTCATCGAAATCACCAATTGTACTACAATCAGAATCCAACCATAAGTGCTCACGAATCATGCCAAGTAATTCTGAGGGGCCGCCAATGGATTCACTTGCAATTGTTGCAGACTCCTCACAAAGAAGGTCTGACGGTAACTTCTGTGGCGTCTCAGTAACAAGTTGTTCTGAATCTTGAATTTGTCGTTCGGGTGATTGGAGCTGGATCTGTTTTTGGAGTTCAGCAAATGCTTCATTCTGATCTGTAAGACCTAGGTCTTCACTAACATTAGCACAAGTGCGACAATTACAGTAGTGACCTTTAGGCAGGGTTTCGTGATAAAGCTTTGAGCAAGAAGAACAGATGCAATGGTAATTGTAATCATGCGCTTCCATCTGCTCACCTGTGGATTGTGTTTTTCGATATTGAATACAATGAATGCACCAACACCTCGTGTATTTAGTGTCGTGGAACCAATGAGGTTCCATGCTGAATTTTTCCGGGTCTTCGATGTCGCAGCGGAATCTTTGGGCTTCGGTTGGGTGCAAAATTTCGCCAGATTCGTAGTCTTGTATCAATTCGCCAAAGTTCATAGTCTCAAAACCTTCCAACATATTGGGAACAAAGTCGTTGTCCGTGGTTTCAGAAGTTTTTGGAGAAAATACTTTGCCAAAATCAATTGGAGATGGTAAATCGAGTTTAAGTAAGGGGACTTGGACTCGCTTTTTTCCACGGGGCACCTCGGATATCCTGGGGGCGTTCTCTTTACCTTTCTGTTCGATATCTTGATTGTTGCCGACAACGAATGTAGTTTGGCGAATGTTTGAAGAGATATTAATTCTTGGAGGAGGACCTTGGAAGTTGAAGGAAGATTCTCGTGAGTAGTCTGAGCTGTTGCTTAGGGAGTTTGGTTGTTCGCTATCTTTTGCTCGACTGTAAAGTTCTTGTGTTAATCTTTCCTGCTGTTCGAGTTGGATAAGTAAATCATCCAAATCATCCTCGTTAGAATCTTCTTCATCTCCATCATACATATGGTCTAGTGGGATTGTTTCGAATTCTTCCTCTCCCTCTCTTGGAGCTTCGAGAATAAACTCTGAGCTGTTGTTAAGAGGTAAGTGAGAAAAGGCCCAAGATGGTTCTTCAAGCATGTTGTCGAAACCAACACCGGTGAAATTCCAGGATGACATCTTGCAATTGTTTTGTGTGTAGTTCGAGTATTTCCTGATACAATTGAGTTCTAGTGATAAAACGATGAGTATTGATAGAAGTCTAGCTTATTACGAATATTTATCGTGTCGGATAGAGTTTGTATATGAGAGAACACTTGGCCGCGACTGAATTGAATGGATGATCTATACACATCAGAATCACGCAGCATTTATACTACTTTACGAGCACTTGTTCTGGAATTCAAGAACAATGTCACTTATACAGTGTCAAACTATCCAAGCAATATATCTACACAATTTTATTCCCCTATCATGCCACTAACATCGCGTTCATTAGGGAATGAGCTACACAGAAAGAAATTTGGAACAGAGCATGAAAGGAAAAGTAAATCTTTACAAAGAATCTGGAACATTGCTTAGTTATATAAAAAGGAATTATTCCTTGACCTTGTTCTTGTTTACTGAACAATGAACGAGGAACAGAACTCACAATGTATTTGTTTCCCCTTTCGTTTTTCGTCATAAAGAACTCGTCCTTCTTTGTTGAAGAACAGATACATATACTTCCATCAATGCAGATGCTGAACAATTCCATTCTTTTACTCACGCATATCTTTTTAATACAACAGAACTAGAATAACTCGAGTAAGTATATCGTTCATTATACTATCATATCTATACATATATTTCATCACACCAATCACACCCTCATAAAATTAAACTAGCGCTGGCCGCATAGAAATATTCTCATCATTCTCGCAGGAGCACACGAAAGTAGAAAAAAGCAACACAATAGCAAAAATGGGAAATGATAAAAACAGACGTAAGAACTCCCATTCTGGTGGTGGTGCTAATGAATCTAGTCCCCGACGTAATGATAAGAAAGGAGGAAATAGAGCCAAGGGAAGAAACAACCATAGCGACAATGAAGGAACGCAAAATAAAGGTAGGGTACCCCAAGAATTCTTAGAATGTCGCATTTGCGAGGGTAAATATCATTGGGAATCGGATTGTCGCAAGAATCCTGCCGGAGAGGGAAAGAGAGGTAGGGATTCGGCTGAGTGTAGAGAGTGTGGGGGAAATCATTGGGAAGATCAGTGTCGGAGTTGGAAATCGAGGAATGGAGGGAGTGAAAATGGGAATCATAAGAAAGGTAATACACAAGGAGACTCAACCTCAAGCTCAGATTCGGATGCAGGGAAATGTTCCGCGCCTACTGGAGAGGACATCACACAGTTTTTCCCGAATGGGAAATTTCCTAATCGGCCTTGTAGGAAATGTAAAGAGTCGGGTCATTGGAATAATGCTTGTGAGAAAGAGGGGTTTCATCCGGTTAGTAATCCGAATCCGGGTGCGAAGGGTGGGAGGAGAGTCAGTTTGCAAGATGAGCAAGGAAATGGACAAGTTAATTCGGGATATAATCAATATCAGGCTCCTCCTGGAACACCAGTTAGGACGGCTAGTTATACCGAGGTTCCGCCTGTGAGCTTTGGACATGCGGAACAGCGTTTTGATTCGGAGATGGAGATGGAGTTTGAGTATGCGGAACCGCAGTATTCTCAGACACAAAATCCGTATCCAAACCCACCCCAACACTCCACCCGCGAACCCGATACCCCCGACTACCATCCCCAATCTTCCCATCCCCAACCCTATCTCACTCACCCCGCCACTCCCAATCCAAACCATCCCTCCCACCCCGACTCCTCTTTCTACCAAGCCCGCTACCGCTCTTCCCTCTGCACACTCTGTCGTTCCCCCGGCCACAAATCCCACGATTGTACTCTCTACCGCTGGTTACTCCCGCGCACCCATTCCGAGTGGCGCCCTCATCCTGATTTGCATCATCCATCTAATACCCTCTATCCCCGTCCAAACGGCTATTGGAAAGGCGACCCGATGAAAATTCCCAGTCGAAATACGTATATCTTCCCGCATCCGGAAAATGTAATGCAAGGGAGATATTGGGGGGAGAATGAGTGGGATGTTGGGGGGAAGGATGTTTGGGTGGGGGAGGATGATAGGGAGGGGATGGGTGGGAGGTGGGGAATGGCGCCGGGGGGGTGTGGGGGAGAGGAGAGTGGAGGCATGTGTAGGTTTGATGGGGAGGGAGATTTGGTTATGGTGGATATTTTGGATTTGGAGGGGAGGAGGTGGAAGGTTAAGCAAGTGAGGGAAGAGAGGGAGAGGGAGAGGAGGGGATTTGGGGGGTTTGGGGGGTGAGTTTCTTGGTTGGTTTCTTCTCTTTTTCATTTTTCTTCTTTGCTATTCATGTGCTGGCGTAAGGGTCCAAGGTACAGATCTAGAAGAGGTAAGATTTCTCCATTTTTCTCAGCTTCAACTGATTTTCATTACGTATCGCTTAATAATCTTTTCTTCTCATATCATAATTTATTTACTTCTTACGACAAGATTTCTATCACATTTACATATATACATAATAAGTGATGCCCTGATTCTCTTATTCTCAATATCCTGATTCTCAAACCCCTTGAAGTTCTCAACTCCCTAATTTCACAATCTCTCTAGACATCTGTGTCATCATACTCGTGTTTCATCTCATCTCTACCTTGTCGAATTGAAGTTTCTTTTTCTCTTTTTTTTCTCTTTTTTTTCTCTTTTTTTTCTTTCTAATAATCATTCATCTCTAGTTTAATCATCTATATGTTAATTCATCTTCAGTTCAATCATCTATGTATTGATTCATCTCTAATTTAATCATCTATGTGTTGATCCATCTTCAGTTCAATCATCTATGTATTGATTTATCTCTACATCTCTCTTATATTGAATATATTAAAGTACTATAGAGATATATAAGTATGAAGCTTAATTATAATGAACGAATAGTATAATAGATAGTACAATAAACTATATCATTATCTAACAAGGTATAAAAGATATGATAATAACCCCATATAGCATCATTCCATATATTGATACCTCAAATGTCGAGAATATAACCAAAATAATCTCAACTAATATTTTTGATATTTCAATCTCGACTTTTTTTTAGTAATATTATTATTTTAATCTCAAATTGATTTGATATTCTAATCTCAAATTAATTTGATATTTTGATTTCAAATTGATTTAATATTTTAATCTTAAAAATTATTGCAGGTTATGCGCTTAGCAGGGGATTGACTAGGCTGGATTGGGAATAGTACTATAATAGTACTATATGGGAAGCTTAGGCTTATAGAATTTATAAATAGAATTACTATTATTATTGAAGCTTGAATTGTTATTGTATTATATAATCTTGAATACATATAAAAGTGGGTTCTAGAAAAAGATCTGAATACAGGGACCTAAGCCACTTATTTATGCTTTTTTCCTGCCCTCTATACAGCCTATAATACGTAGGTGGCGTACATGAAAATTCTGATTTGAAATCAATATTTTGATTTGAAATCAATTTCTTTATTGATTTCAAATCAATTTTATAATAAAGAAAAATTAATATTGCGTCTGTCATTCCGCATTTGGACTAGCTTCCACGTGATATTTCAAATTTTTCAAAATAATGAATTATTATTTTGAATAAAGAGCTAATAAAGGATTTCTTTTTGAATAAAGAATTCTTTATTTTATTTTATAATAGTATTCTTCCTTATATAAAGAAAATAAAGAATATAAGAAATTTTTCTTATAATATTGAATTTTTATTATTTTATTATAATAATAGAATTTTATTATTATAATTAGTTCCCTTAATATTATAATTGTTATAACGGATTAGTAACAGACTGTAGAATCACTGACTTATAGGCTATAATGGTATTATAGGCCTTAGTGATTTAGCTGTAGTATACCGGGGGATATTAAGCATCTAAAGAAAGCCTTAGGCATATATATAGTATTAATTATAGGATATTTTAGAAATTTAGAATATAGTTCTTAGAATAGTAAGTTCTAGGAAAGATAGAATATAATAAACAAGAAAGCTTTATTAGGATTAATAATGTCCTAGAGGATTAGTCTTAGGATAAAAGAATAAGCTAGGATATCAAGAGTTATAAGATTAGTATTCTGTAATGGACAGCTTAGGAATAACAGTGCTTCAGAAGCAATCGGCTGTTTTAGCTGTCCAAGTAAGATGAAGATTTATATAAGGGAATAGGTTTCATTATAATATAGAGCTTTATACTCAAGAATAATTATTAGTTTCATTATTATAATTATAAGAATTACAATTAGTTATAACCTTATTGAATTCCTACTTGAAGTTTAGTTTAAACTACCTCAAGAGATCTCTAGACACTTCCACATAACTCTAGAGGCATGTTACGGGAGCTGCCTCTAGGGTCACGTGGAAGTGTCTAGAGATCTCTCGAGGTGGTTTAGACTAGACTTCAAGTAGGAATTCAATAAGGTTGTAACTGGTTGCAATTCTCGTAACTATAGTATGAAACTAATGATTGATCTTGAGCACGAAGCTCTACATTGTAATGAAATCCCATTCCCTTATATAGACCTTCGTTCTCTGTTGTCCCACTGCTTCCCACTGTGTCCCACTGGGCCTTACTCAGTGGGACTCAGTGGGACACCTTGGTCAGGTGATATTTTAATCAATCTAGTCATGTGACGACCTCAGTCGTAACAAGGCAGCTCCTGTAACAATAATAATATTAAGTGATTTAATTAATATTTATTAAAAACAACAAAAATTATATATCATTTTGATTTCAAAAACTATATATCATTCTAATCTCAAAAGTTATATTCTAATTATAATATAATATAAAATATATTAAACAATTATAAACTACAAATCTATAAACTTAAAATCTCTCTTTTAATCTCTTGAATTTATAAATATCTTTCTTTTCCTTTTTCTCTTTATATTTTCCTTTCTTATCTTTCTTACTTTTCTTAATCTTCTTCTTCTTTTTCTTCTTTTTTTTATATTCTTAATTGAGATTAAAATATTAATATCTCTATAAATTTGAATTATATTAATACTTCTAATTGAAATCAGAATATTAATATTCCTATAAATTTGAATCAAACTAACACTTTTCAAATTAAGATTAGAATAGTAATATTTTGAAAATCAAAACGATCTGAAATAGCATGTATTAGACCCCAATTAGTACTTTTGACATTTGAGGTATCAATATATGAAATGATATTATATGAGGTTATTACTGTAAAAGATATAAGTGAGAATAAAAAAGAAGTTTGATAAGAAGTATATATAAGTTTTATAGATAAATAGAAAGGAAAAGTCGAAAGAGACGAGACGATTATGAGAAAAATATCAGATGTTAAATATTTAAAGAAACGTCATTTTATATATCGAGGATTAAAGTTTGAATATTAGATATGAGAATTGGGAAATTAAATAGTATACTTTATTCTCTAGTACTTTAAAGAGTTTAAGTATCTATTTATATATCTATCTAGTACTTATTAATCTCATCTATATATTTTTTAATATTCTATAATTATTATATTATAAATATTCTTTAATAATCAAATTATATAGACATATTGATACTATCGATTTACTCTTTTCTTTCTTATTCTATCTATATTTATATCTATTCTTATATCTATTCTTATATCTATTCTCATATCTATTCTCATATACTATATTATACTTAGATATCAATATTTCATTCATTTATTTACCTATTTATTTATTTATTTATTCTCGAATCGAGGATTAGTAAATAGAAAGTTAATCTTTAAAATTGAGTATATATATATATAAATAGATATAAGTTATAATTATAATAATAAGAGCGAAGAAATCATATAAGATATACTACAATGTAGGAAAGTAAAAATACTATCATCTACAATATATTATCCCTCCTTTACTTTCCCTCCTACCCTATCACCCTTTCTCATTTCCCCAGTTCCCCATTTCCTATCCCGTCTATCCTATCCCTTCCCAAATAAAAACCATCCCCCTGAATTCAACACAACAAGAAATTCAACACAACCCAAAACCCCAAATCACAACAAAACAAGCCAAACCCCCCAAAATCCGCATCCGTCCCAAGAACAAAGAATTCCATCCCCTTGTCAAAAATCTCAAAAATTTCCAAATCGCCGTTTCATTATCTGATTTCTTTGTTGTGGTATACAGATGAGTTAGTTACGTAGTTAGCTTGTACCAGATGGGTGTGTAGCGAATAAGACAGGGAGAGGGGTAAAGAAGTAGGAAGCGAGATGGGTGTGAAGGGAAAGAGATGAAGGGAAAGAAGTGGGTTGTATGTATGTGTCTGCGTATTTTGTAATTTTTATTTTGGTTATACATACTACATACCTATCTATGATCACGATTTTTTCTCGAAACGAAAGAAGGAATTTCGCAGATATAAGTATTAGCAAACACGAAAGATAACACAGCTACCTCTTTTTCCACCACAACCACCTCAAAACCAAACCCAAACCCACCACAAAATGCGACCCGGCAGCATCCTCCAAAACTACACCGGCCCCATGCCCGACCTCGGCGGTCCCCCCAACACAAATCCCAACCCCCGAGGTTCCGGCAATCGGCGCCGCTCCTCCAGCACCATCAAAGCCGTACCCCGCCGCGGACAAACTCTCGCCGACGAGCTCGCCGGTTTTTCCAGCATAGGGAGTTCACCCGCTTCGTCCCTCTCACATGCCTCTTCCGAAGACGAAGGAGAAACCGTCCAAAGCAGAACTATCGCCGAGACACCTCTTCAACGAAAAGCGCGTCTGCAAACCGAGCAAGTTCTCGAAAGACATAATAAGTATCTCAAAGATCACAATGTGCGCAGGGATATGATAATCCAAGCGCCAGCCCCAGAAACGACTCCCGCACCCGCAGCAGCCCCCCTCTCCAAAGCCCAAAAACGACTTTCCCAACCCGGGATTGCGAAAGCCGCACAGCCATCTCCAGCAGTCCCTCTATCCAAAGCTCAAAAACGGGTTTCGCAGCCCGAGAATACGGGAAACAAGACAAAGTCATCTCTGGGCGAATTTATCTCCAACACTCAGAAGCGAGTTTTCCAGACCGACGACGCGGGAAATAAGGCGACAGCATCTCCGATCATCCCTCTATCCAAAGCTGAGAAACGAGCGTCAAAAAAGCCCGAAAATACCGGAAGCAGGGCAAAGTCCCATCAGCAAGCTCCGCGATCTGTCCCTATGGGCGGTCCACACATGCCTGTGGATCAACCAGGACTAGCACCGCGTCGCGTGCCTGCTCCTGTTCAGACGGTAAGACCGCCTCCGCACTCCGATGGATTTTTCGCGACCATTTCGCGAGAATATGGATGGGGTTGGTTGTGGTGGCTTAGTCTTCCACTTGCCGTTCTTCTTGTGTCGTTTTATGCAAGTCGGTGGGTGCAGGAAAATCAGCTTGCGATGGAGACGTTTAAGAGGAATGCTGAGGAATCGATGAAGAGCAAGTTTAAGGTTAAGGCCGAGATGACGAATGGGGATGCAGTGATTGAGATTGCCTCTGCTATTCATGATATTGCGAGTATATCATTGGATGAGAAAGGAATTCTTGAGAAATTAACCGATAGTCCCTTTAATCAAGCCGTGCTACCTATTGAAGCACTCCGAAAAGAAGTTATAGAGGCCGAAGGAAAAAAATCTCAACCTCTCCTCTGGAAAATCGATAAATTTGTCGTAAAGAATCGAGAAGTAGATCACGCGTGGCGTTCTTTCCTCGAACAACAAATTGAAGCTACTGCGGAACTTACAGGTATATTTGATGGATATGCTAGGAATGCTGGTTTCGAAGGAGATCATCCTGACTGGATCAGAGCTGCTCATAACATCACACATCATGACTTCACCGACATTCCACAAAAAACATATCGTGAAGGCGAACAAATTCTTTGTCAAATACTCGGGAAGAAAGATGGTCCCAAATGTCCTTCAATCGGGAAAATGCTTATAGAAGTTTACAATGATCTCAAGCAAGGACTTGAAAAGCCCGGTATCAAGATTCCACCAGAAACATTCAAGACATATACAGCAGCGACGGCTGACATAGCAAAAGCCATCAAGTCAGTACTTAAGAGATGGGAAACTGCAGCGGATAGAATCGAGGCAGCAAGATTATTATATAAGGATGAACATGCTATAGGAAATGTAGAGAAAGTGGATGAATCGTTGGATAAGACCTCAAGAGCTCTAACCGATGCAATGTTGAGCCCCGTGGTAGAGCGAGAAGAAATTCCATCATATCCAACAGCTGTCAGAAGACTGGCAGAGGCGAAAGTTTGGATAAAGAAGTTACAATGAATTTGCCTTGCAATTTGATGTTCTTGAATTTTTTCCTCGATTGGAAGATAGAAAATGGGGTCCGTTGCATTTCAACGTTGTGGATTGATTTTGTCCTTGATGCGAGTTCATAGGACTATTGGCTTGTAGAAACTATCTAGTTTACCAATCGTAGTACTTTACATGTATTCATTATTGAACTAGCACCTACCATGTGTGAGTTTTTGGTAGATGAGTACATGGTACTCGAATGCATATATGTCTGCAGAGTGGCTGAGAGCAAGCCCACCTATGGGCACTGTTCGCACACACAGCTATGCGAGATCGCCTAGATAATTAGCCATCCAATCTGAGCGATATTAGCCAAAATCGGAGCGTATGAAAAAAACTTTCTTTGGAACAATTGGGCAGCTAACCAGCCAAGTTCGAAATGTTTCGGTTTCGTTTATCTTTGTGAAGCGGTTGATGGATAAATGACCAGAATTTTCGCCTTGCGATGAGGACCTGCCTGAATGATTCACGCATATGCAAACCCAGCAGTGTGGCAGCAAATAAAACGATTCGCTGCAAGGACGATGGAAGGTAAAAGCGGGAAGGATAGAAGGATAATTCAGGTTCATGACCCAATCTATCTCCTTGCATTTTTGGATGAACAGTCGGTTGCATTGCAGCCGAACGAACTGCAAGACATCTCCAATCATATGAAGGAATTTGAGCAAAGATCTGAGGAGTGAGATAGATAAGATAACGAGAAGATATATGAAGTACATTGACGCCAAAAAAGTATTGATTTTGAGAATCTGCGGGGTAATCACCCGGCTTCCCATCAGATTCTCACATTCATATTTATGATCCCAAATCACACCAAGTATTCGTCATGTTAAGATTATACTTCTCCGCGGCGAGAAAATTGCATTGGGTGAGGGCTGAGAAGTGGAGAGAAAGAATCATGTACTTCGTACTCAGGACTCAATAATAGAAGAGGGGAATAGAGAAGAGGCAAAAAACAGGGTCTTTACCCCTAATGCTACCCCGGATTTCTTTGACATGATAAATCCTCAATTGAGCAAAGTCCATGCATATTGAGTCTTGAGCTAGGAGAATAGTTTCCAGAAACAAGGCTCATCCCGTAGAAATCGAAAATCTAATCGTCGTTCATTCTTCGGTGCGGATTATTTCGTGCCACGTAAAAATGCGAGGGGGGAAGCTTGAGCCATGGCCCATAGCCCATAAGGTGACTGGGATGAGGGACTTTTCTGTGATTTTCTGTGATTTTGTTGAATCTGGAAGATTCTGTCGCCTATGATGAAGGGGTAATTCGTATAAGATCTAGGTGATTTTTTTGTTGAAATACCTAAGATCAATAATGGGTCACCAAAACTTTCACCTGGCTAGCTAAGAATATTTTCATTGGCCGCAGAGCAAAGCAAAGCAGATCAAGATTGATTTCTTCGGTCCCCCCAAAAATGTTTGGTTCATGTGGATGTTGAAAAAAACCGAGTTCTCTGGGAACAATGAGACATTGAAATGGCGGTATTCCAAGTTCGCAGTCCAGATCAATGCCATGGTGAAGAATCACGGAAATGTGTATGACAGGACGGAAAAGGATCAATTCTCATGAAGTAATAGTTATCAGAAATGGCGACATGGCATTGAAAAATTTCAAGACCGTTCAAGGTAAACCATGATGTGGTTAGGTAATGGGAAATGGTTGGAGAAGCAAAATTTCTCATTGGTTCAAGATTCTGGATTCATATTGGAATGGGGTAAGAAAAATCAATCTCTGCTCTTTTTTTTCTCCTCAGTGTTCAAGAAAGGATGGATAAGGATCTGTGATTCTCTGATTCGATATCATGGAATCATGGTAAAGGTAGAAGTTGGTATTGATAGTCTGATAGTCCATACCAGAAGCAGATTTGATATCAAAGTTCGAATGGGTACATAGTAAGGAGTGAGTAGTGAACAATGAGTAGTGAGTAGTGAATAATGAGCAGTAAGTAGTAAGTAGTGAGCAGTGAGGAGTGAGCAGTGAGTACCAAGTAGTCAAGAGAGAGTAAGGGCATTGATCGATACGAGGTGACACAACATGATACATGATACAGCATGGTCAACCTCTCTCTCCTATTGGGGAATGAGGTTCCTACACAATTCGATATCAACACGTGTTGATGACACCACGTGGAGGTCATCTAGAAACGACAGTACAATCGAATCCCTCTCATTAGTTGACCTTGGATGACAACGACCTTGAGAGTTCTCCATATCATGGCATTGGCACGCCGAAATCGACCCTGCCTGCCATACGAGTTAATTTACTCGTACATATAAAGGATGATTTGGCAACTGTTTCTATGAGTTATATATACTCCGTAGAATAGAGGACAAGCACACGTACGGGTAGGGTAGTCAGGGTTAGATGATTGAAAGAGAAATAGCATAGCATTTCAAGCAATGGGATGAGCAACATCCATAATACATACGGCTAACGCAGTCGATACGATTTTCCCCATTGGCCTCCAGACCGAACATCCAGATTGTGCTTGAATGGCTCAATGGATGGCAATGTGATACTATTACTAATTCCCAAAGTCTTGGACCACATGGTGCCCCGTCTGCGTTCACATCTCACCAATGAGTCAAATTAGATGAAGTTCTTTTTCATCATCCGATGCCGCAAAACTCTATTACGAAGTAGGCTCCGCCTTATCTACATTTTGTGGGGAACCCATGGTGGATTGAGCGACGCAAGGGATTTGATATAAAAATACTTTTTTTTTTCCAGACCAAGTAAAAGTATGTCATATGATATGTGTGGCTGGCAGTTGCTGTGTAGGTATGCATGCATGCTCACACAACTCGATTGGAAATTGTCTCTACACGGTAAAGTTGATGAACGTGTACAAGAGACGAGTACAGTAGTATTCGACCAAGTACAGAGTAGATCTCATGAGCATTGCATCGAAGTTTAATACCCCTCGCTAGGTTGTAAGTACATATACGGTATGGGATATAATATACATGTTACACTACCAGAATCATGTCATGATCAACTCCAGCTGCCGTAGCCATCAAGGTTGGAAGAAGAAGAGTAAGAACAGAGCAAGAACGGTGATTGATCGAACTCTTAGCCTTATCGCTCGCTCTCTGTCTCTCTCTCTCTCTCTCTCGAACAAAGGGGGAGGGGAAGATTCTTTGGAAGAGCTTGTGGAGACTGGTGGGAGATAAGTAGAGTGTAGAGCTGCGAGAGTATAAGGTCTACTAGGACAATAATTGACGATGGACGTAGTTATATACAATTAGATGATAAGGACATTACACGTGGACCGAGTCATGAAAGATCAAGTGTACCTACTTTTTTATACACTTGTTGAACCAATCCCCTCTTCTTTTTCTTCATTACACTTTTCACTACCTAGTAATCAGGTATTTACGTATGTATGTATGTATGTATGTATGTACACATATTTACTTGCACATATATACATGTAATTGTTATACATTTTTCCTTTCCCTGTGAGGGTCGTACCTACCTATCATATCGACATTTCAATAACCTTCCTTACCCATCCATTTCCTACTCGGTATACTAGATACACACACATCTAGTATACGGCGTATATAATATTTGAAACAAACCTCGGAAAGAAAGAATTTTATAGTTGACATAATAAACCAGCAAGCATCCATCAAGCAATCATCCAGACAGATATCTTTCTTTACCATTGCCTTCCTTCCTTACCTTACATAACCTCGGACTCTACTAAAAGATTTCTCTTTATCTTCTCTACTCTACTTTATTCACTAGATTATTGCCCCTCGATATCAATCTACATTCCATACCTAATTAGGATCTCACAGCTTTATACTTATTCCAACTACTACACATCTCTTGTTTCGTTACATAAGAGAAGCATCACTCTTCGTACTGCATTTTTCTTGTACCACCGCACACACAATCTCACGACACAAACATCCACAGTTATCTTTCACTCGGTACAAGATTTCATCCTGAATTTTACCTCTTCCTATCTCTATCTCGACACCCAGAACGATTGATCAAGAAGAAGGAAGGGGGAAAAAAAAGAATCACTTACACGAACAAATATACCCACTCCCTTTTAACGACAAAAGGAGAAGCTGCTGCAAGGGAGATTGAAAGGAAAGAAGCTTCAATCACTTGACTTCCCCCTCCCCCCCCCTTTCGTTCCATGAGAGAGGATTGATTGAATAAATTCAAAGCAAACAACAACTTCACCGCTTTTAAAAAAAAAAATTAATCGGATAAAGAAAAGATAATTACCCGGTTGGATCAACCTTAGACGCAAAAAGTTTCCAACACCACGGAAACTCATCCCATCTTTGGTAATTCATTAGCAGTCCAGGCATTTTCTCAGAGGTCATTCGCAAACGAGGGCTGAGGTGGTGTCACTGGGTCTAGTAGTTTATAAGTCGAGTTCGAACACTTTCGAACTATACCTAGGATATTTGTTAACCGCATTGGTGATCGACGTACAGCATTGGATTTCGACCCATCTATTCAATTCAACCATTAGATTCATATTTGTCGAGCGCAGATTCTCACCAAAGGACTTGATTCGTCGGTACCCCCTTTCAGAAACCCGTCTCCGCTTCCATGTCCTCGTTTGTCTGAAGGAGCAGCAAGGGTTCAATTGGAATTTCCGTACAAGTAAACAATAATTTCCATTTCGTCTAAAGTTGGGAGTAACTCGGAAGAGAGAGAGATTTCAGCCACAAATTTCATCTGGAGGAAAGCATAAAAAATCAGCCTTGCATCATTGCTTGTTATTCATAGGCAATAGATCGTCTGACAATTAAATCATATCATCCAATGCCCTCAGCAACGCCGAGGGCTACCCTCGCCATCAGACCTCGACCTTCGGAACCACCACAACCCATAAATCGCAAACACGCACCTTGCACTTCGTATCCCGAAAGTTCCCCTCTTGATAATTTCTCTCTTTATAATCCTCCTCCAACTCTTTCAGATCGTCCATCAAAACGATCCATGACCACTCCATCGAAAACTATCGCTGTCGTCAATTCCTCCGGACGACAGGCTGCATCATTTATCCGCGTTGCTAGTGCAGTGGGCTATAATGTACGAGCTCAATTACGAAACCTTGATGGGATAGTAGCATCGGAAATATCTTCACTTCCAAATGTTACTGTCCTAGTAGGCGACCTGTTCATCAAACGATCTTCTTCATCCTCGCCAACGTTAGATCCCGAAACCACCAAACTAAATGATGCACTCATTCGAGATTTGTTCGATGGAGCGCAACTAGCATTTATCAATACTACATTCTGGGGTGATGAGTATGCTATTGGTTGTGCTTTGGCCGATGCAGCGGCAGCTGTTGGTATAGAGCATTATATCTATTCATCTATGCCCAATCACTCTGTCGTCTCCTCCTCATGGCCATCATTACCACTGTGGTCCGAGAAATACGCAGTCGAAACATATATCCGAACCAAACTCCCTTCTCTCCCGTCGACATTCCTCTACACCGGAATTTACAACAACAACTTCACATCGTTGCCATATCCATTATTTTGCATGGCCCTCCAACCCGACGGTTCCTTTGAGTGGCAAGCTCCTTTCCATCCAGATGTACCTTTACCATGGCTAGACGCCGAACATGATGTTGGACCTGCAGTTTTACAAGTATTCAAAGATGGACCACCAGCTTCTTCCTCGAATCCTCGTCGCATACCTCTCGCTTATGAGTTTCTCTCTCCCAAACAAGCTTGCGCCGCCTTTTCCCGCGGTGTCGGTCGTCCAGTAAAATATAAACATAATCCTACTATTGAAGTACGAGTTAAGATTCCCAGAGGATATAAAGATCAATTGGTCGCATTGGAACAAATGTATGCATTAGGACGCTCGGATCCAAGACGCCAACCTCCATATTTCGCCGAGCAGAAATTAGAAGATCAGGTACCGGAAGAAGCGATGAAATTATGGGAAGGATATCGAGGATTGGAAGAATACGCTCGGGAAGTTTTCCCGCTGGAAGAGGCCGCCAATGGATTGACGTGGATGGTGGAGGATAATTACGAGGATAGGACGTATACGCACAACGAGGTTACGAATGGAGAAACCGATGATAATGCAAGCTATGGAGAAGAAGAAGACGATGATGATGGATTGACTATAGGCGGAGGCTTGGGTACATCGGGCGAAGCCACACCGGCGAGAAAAGAAGAAACGTGGCTCGCATGAACGATCCTCGACTTCGAAACTTATGAAAACGATTGAGTGATGTGTAATTAGATCTACAGATTCACTTATAATTTTTGACGATTTAACGGCAGATGCACACAAAAGCGCAGGAAAAGCATTGCAATTGGATGGGAATATTGCATGTACCTACTTACCTACTTTGTTTAAAAATTATGCAACATCAGATCTCAGCATTTCAGATCTCAACATAACACATCTCAACACGTCATAACGCAATAAATGCAACAGATACTCAAATACTTATATACTCATACACTCCAACACTCCAACACAACAAAAGCGAAACCCTTACATTACATTACATGCCATACATCACAGGAGTCTCTTCTCTCTTCTCTCATCACCTCGAAACAAAACCACAACAACAGAATCACGGATAGCATATTGCATTGCATTGCATGGACGGGCGGACGGGCGATGATGGGGCTGGTTGGCGGACAAACGGATGGATGGGCATGGAGTCTTATAATTATATTCACATTCAGATTTACATATATGTATATATTGATAAGTCTTGAGTTTTGATTTTGAATTGAATTAAATCAGAATAAAATTAGTTCTACGAGACGAGACGAGACTCGAGAGTTAGGTTTTATATCTATCGTTGTCTAAGAGTCAAGTCAAGTCAATTCGTCCAAGTATTTTTTTTTGTAATTCCAGTTTATTGTTAGTTGGGTTAGATGATCATCAAGATCAATAATCATATTAGGATTCAACATTAACAGATATCCATATTCACATCCATCCACAAACAAGTAGCAAGCAACAAGCAACAAGCTGCGTAATGGTAGAGAAAAATAATAAGTAGGATTCCATATAAACTATAAATATGATACGATAACCACTATATGCTATCGTATCGAGTGAGTGAGTAAGTGAGTGAGGTATGTTCAGTTAACACATTCAAACATTACTAGTACCAGACATTTCATTTCATCCCATTCCATCTTGTCCCATCTTGTCCCATCCCATCCCATCCCATCCCATCCATCCCATCCAAAACCCCAGCGCCTCATCAACACTCCGCAGAGCTATGTCTACCAAGATCCAAATACCTAACTAAATCCTACAAGTTTCAAATACCCCAACGTCATACTCATAAAAGCAAACTTGCTTTCCACTCTGCTAGTCCCTTCATCGTCCCAATATACTCAATATGAGTATCAGGCCTAACACAAACGTAACCCGGTTCATTTACAAATCCATACCTTTCATGTAGAATACCCGCTTCATCATAAATTCCCTCTCCTCCTTTCTTCTCTCCACCCACAATCCTATGGATCTTCAGCCAGCTTTGTTCCTTTTCCGGAAAATCTGTTCCCACTGTCTCTAACAAATCTTGTGCATCCATTGACTCTCTCCCCAATCCGGAAAAAAGTAACAAATGATGCGTTGGCCCATTGAATAACGAGTATAGATTCGTCTCCTCTTGAGTATCAGGTAAGATTATTTTCCCATCAGGTGCACGATCGCCTCCTCTTCTGGGTCCATAATATGCACTTGCAGTTTTACAAATCGACGAGTGTCGATATCGTATTCCCAGTTGAGTAATAAATCGATATCTCCTAGCGCGATTTGCACCCTTTTTGAAAGCAATTGGGGCCATCCATGGAAAGAGTGTGTTTCGTAGATAGAGAAAAATAGGATTGGTTGTGGCCATGAATTCGAAGACCTGATCTGTACCTTTCAAGAGATTGATGCCCACACGACGTCGTTCAATACTGTAGGAGTCAAGAAAACTTTCTTTCCTTTGGTTCCGAAGAACAGCGCCGAGTTTCCAGCCGAGGTTGATGGCATCTTGGATACCTGTGTTCATGCCCTGACCACCAGCTGGCGAATGAATATGCGCTGCATCTCCAGCGATGAATATACGACCATTGCGAAAGGAATCGGCAAGTCTATGGTGAAGTTTAAATCTTGTGATCCACATAGGAGGATCCTCGAGTTCAATATCCCCCATAGCAAGTCTTTTGAAAGCTTCTTCGAATTCTTTAAGCTCAGGTGCATCATCTTTGGCCTCTCCGTAAGTCGATTCATCGTTCTTAGAATTAGGGGTACTTAATACAAGTCGGTGTACTCCATCTTTGAGCGGTAAACACATCATAAATTCATTCCCCATGAACAACGTCAATCGATCCGATGCATACTCCCATTTTAGCTTTACGTCTGCCAGTACGAAATCCGATTGATATGCAGAGCCTTCGAATTTCAAACCGGCCGATTTTCGAACCATTGAATGAGATCCATCGCATCCAACAATGTATTGACAGTGAATCTCTTCCTCGTCGGATTCTTCGTAGCCATCTTGCCTTATATGTTTAACGCGAACCGAAACACCATTATCATCCTGAACAATGGATATAGCTTTTGTTCCCCTCTCCACTTTGCCTCCATATTCTTCTAATTGTTTCTCCAGACATGATTCTGTCTCTCTCTGGCTGAGAAAATAAGGTCCTGAATACTCTGTGTCGAGTACACCCATGCTCTCCCGGGTGAGATCCATTTCGAATGCATTCTTCTTGTTGACGTAGAAACTTAGGCCGAGATTTTGTTTGCACAGAGGGAGGAGATTCGATATAAGAGAAGGATGTCGGGAGAAAAGTTCCATGGAACGAGTGTGAAGGACGAGAGCGCGAGAATTAGGAGACTGGGAGAAGAGAGGATCGATTAGGATAAATGGGATTTTCTGAAGGGTAAGTTCGAGGGCCAAAGTGAGACCGGTAGGACCTGCACCCACGATGAGGACTGCAGTTGATCGCATGTTGAGTCAAGGTCGATAATTGTTGCAAACCTAAGTGTGAAGGGAGAGGTATCTTGAGATTGTATCGTATACCCGAGGCAGGGTTATTCCACCTTGCTTGTTTGATACTAGCTAGTTAATAGGAGACAGAGAAGAATGAAAATCAAGAGGCAAAGAGCATGTCTTGGGATATGTATTTATATCTGCCACTTTGGAACCGCTGTACCTACCGTCAACAACATTCAATCACATATGGAATGCTCAGTAGACACACGGTCACACAATCGGGGTCTATTGACACCGTGTAGATGGTGCAACAAGTCCTACATCTAGACATGACATTATGTGTATCCCGTATTTTCGAGGCTAGAGACAAAACAAGCATCTCGTATCCTAAGATTGACCAGCGCGATCTCACTTCACATGGCAATCGAGGAATAGAACATGTCGGGAATCTTCGTTTCAATCATGCCGACGATGTTTTGTCCCATGAGGTTAATGAACTAATGTCGGCATTGGAAGGGCTGTTTAGCCCGATATTACGTGACCCCACTGACATATTTCGACAAAACTCCAAACATTTTCTTGCGACCTCATGTTTGAGATGGCTAGCTATACTGCTACTGCATCATGATTAAGCCATTCAAACGTTTCGATGGAACTCCGCATTACTGCCCTCAGCCGGTGTATTCATCTCAACTCAGAGATCAGCCACATGATGATTCAAGTGTGTCAGTTGATGCGAAGATTATCTGCGACTTTACTTTCTCCAATAAAGAAGGCTCGAGAGCGGGAGGTCTGCACACCACTTGGAGTGTGCAGAGCTACTCTGTCCAGTGATAACAGTCCTATGCATGGAAGACAATTAAAAGTGAGGCGAACTCAGCCATTTGCACGGAAAGAATCCTATTTTAATCCATACTATTTGGTTGCTTGTTGAGGCCATCAGGGTGGGAGGAAATCCTTCTCACTCACCGGATATATTGGTGCATATGATTGGTTTGCAGTATATGTTGGCGTTCAGAGATGTATACATATTGGCTACTTCAGCCGCACGATATAAGACGGGACAAGATGTTCTGTGAGGCTGAGAATTGCCAAAATGATATATAGAGTTATCAAAAGTTCTTCGCGCAATGCTAGCGCAATGCGTGTTTACCTTGATCATCCACTCCAATCTCATGATGAGCTCCATTCTTCCCGATCGTCTTTTAACAAATATCACCATAACAGTTCCCAATAGCACAACTCAACATGGCAATGACCACATATTGTGCCTTCCTATTACCAGGAGCTATTGGCCTTCAGTTGCTGCTGTTATCATTTTCTTTGCCACAAATTATTTAGCCCATGCAGCGACTGTCAAATCAAGCCCTGGAGATGACTCCCTTCTTCAGGGCTGTAATGCTCTTTTGGCATTGTTTTTTCCGATGTCTGGTCTCCTGCGAGCGCTCAACGCTATCGTTCGACTACCAATATTAGCTCGAAATGAGCTCGAAAAGGCATGTAGAGCCGGGGCATTATGCATGGTGGTTCGAGCACCTCACTGGAGACCTAAGCCGGGTCAGAAGTTTTCTGTGGGAGTAGTGCTTGAGGATGATAGAGACGTAGAGGATACAGACCCTGAGGGCCAATCTGGGCGCGACTCTTCTCAAACTATAAAAGCAAATATGATAACATATCTTCCTTCATATGCCCGCGAACAATCATCCACGTGGATACACTTCGATTCGGTTTGGGCCAGATCGCGCGTAAACTTACGATTGTCGCGAGTACACGGTACATACGATCTTCCAGAAGGCTATGAGTTTGCCATAGTACCCCGCAACACCTTTTTGATTTCTCAAGTGGCTTCAGACACTCACGGAGATCCAAGGCTTAGTAGCGAGATCAGTGCTAGCTACAGTGTTCTGAAAGCAGTGGCCTCACTTATCCAGGTCGTCGCTGCATTCACCACCCTTCTCTCAAATCGTCCAGATTTGATTAGCCGCTGGGGATACGCATCATATCATCTTACAGTTATACCATATCTTGCCATGACTCTTGTCAACCTGATCTCAAACATGGTCTCTCCAGACTATTCTTGCTTGTACATGGTACGCAGCGAGACTATGGTTGAAGCAGAGAAATTGGGTGGAAGATTTGAAGGCGAAGTTGCCCAAACGATTTCCCTCTTACCAAAAGATGGGATGCAAGTTGAGAATCCAGCATGGAGTGGTCTTACCAAAAAAGACATTCAAAATTTCTCCCTTACACTTACTTCAACGGCTAGCCAGATGTATATCTTCAATATGGTCATTCGTCTACTTGATCTAACCATTGCAAGCAAGGCAAAGAAGAAGCTGTCCGCCAAAGATGCCAAGATGATACATCTGGAGGTCATTTCTCAATTCAATTCTTCTACTGCTCCCCCCGCAAACGAATCTGAAACGAGCGCAACGCAGGCCGAACAGCCTATAAATCTAGCTGATACAATCTTGCTCAATGGTGGTAATGAGAGCCCGGCACTACAAAATAGTTTAAGTGCCGATAGATTCCGTATGCAGTCTAATTCGGACATCTTAGCAAGGCCAGTAGGTTCAACAGATGAGTACCAGCTCCAAATTCCTCGTGCACCCAGGCTATCATCAGGAAAAGGCCTATCATATACCATTCACCGGATTATGGAGGATTTATATTCTGCTCAGGGTGAGAAGACAAGTTCATTTTTGATCATGCTGCAGAACATGAAGGAAAATAAGTCGAGGCTTAAAGCCTACAAAATTTCCGAATCCCACATGAAACGAACCATGATTCTATATAATCTTGCATTACAAGGTCATATTATTCCAATAACTTCAGAGGACAATGCGGAGTTCGCTCCGGTTCGATCGGCTATAATTTACCACCCAAATTGCCATCGATTTCTCCGCTGGGATGACTTCGCCGACCCGCCTAAAATCGATAAAGAAAAGTCCAATGCAATCCAACTCCGAGAATTATCGCCAATCAATGAGAGCGGAGAGAACAATTTAGCCGCATCTATTTCTAACGTGCGTACACTACTCAAGCTGCCGGAAAGACCCACCACGACTGCTGTATCAATCGCCGAGCTTGAAGAGCTCCTTTACTCACCAACTAGAACAAGAACAGGCGGACGAATAGGATGGGCTATAATAGTCGAAATTAGCATCGGTATTTTTGTTGTAGGTCTTTTCTTTGGGTTGATCGCGGGGTTGACGAAATTCCATTCTGGCGAGAGTTCTGTAACTGAAAGAGGTATCATGATGACTTGGCTTGCTAGTGGCCTATATGGATTCTGTCTTCCTCTTCTTAGTACCCTTGAGCTTCTAAAGATAATATTTTTGTTTCCAGCCATTCTGTCCCTGTGTCTATCGGGTATTCCCGACTTCTATCACGATACTTATGAAAATCACCAAGCGCTTATAGACGACGAACAAAATGATACCGTTGATTGGAAAATGATGATTATAAATTTAGCCCAAAGACGATTCAACTTTTTTTTTGGAATGGCTGCGGCGTCTTCTGCTCGTCCTCAACAAATGGCAGCTTTCCTGTATGGGTTTGCTTTTGTTCCTCTTGGGATTTTCATCCCGCCTGTTTGGGGGTTTGTGCTAGTGGGGAGAATGATCATAGAGTGGGGAGATTGTGTGAGATTGTACTAACACTAGATTATTCAGCCTATCTGGCTTCTTCAAGATGATGTTGGCTGAGGACGAATGAGGATATTGCGTCAAAACTGCACTAGTTCGGAGTCGGATATTTGACGTTTGTGGAACGTTGTTATGAGTATCGTATTTTCTTACCTAAATAGCTATTTAAACGAGAATACAATACACAATTTCTTCTAGAGAAATTGCTCGTTCAGGTTGATTTGTTTGTGATACAATGACCTTCGGGGTCAGGCAGGATGAAGTGTTTATACTTTACACTTCGAGTCTTGGAGAGCCGAGCACTTCCAAACCCGTAATCAACCTAGAAAGAAATCCTTTCCAATGATTTTCTATTCGATTGATAACGGATGGAGAGTATTGCATATCATTAATAACTAACTAACTAACTCTTAATTAATACCAAACACAGAAACTACCAAACTCCGTATTGACAAACGAAGATATGGAGGGATATATCACTCTGAACCTCAGAAGTAACCATCTCAGAATACATCCCCCCTTTCTCTCTCCTCAAGACTCGAAACAACCACGGAGAAGAAAAGTAACATTTACTTAAGAAGCAAGATACAGATCTAATCCAATGACTCCACAAACGTCCCGGGAATTCAAGCTGATAAAATACTACCTCAAAAGATTCTCGGAATTGCAATCTTGTGTTTTTCGAACTACGAACGATCTCTTTCCTGATCGTACTGAGATCGAGGAGAGCAATACACTGTACGGTGATCATGGCTATATCCTTAGATGATGGTTTTTTTTATAGAGTTGAGGTTTTGACGAGCTGAGAATCCGAGATCCTTCTTATTTTTAATTCTCTGGGGGATAAGTATTCATGTAATTATTGATTCGAAATAAAATCCTGACCAACTAATTGTATTATCACCCAGATTATCGAGAGAAAAAAAGGATGTTTTATACAAGTACACAATAAACATGGGAACTCTAATCTAAATGTCAAATATCCTCGAAACACCTTCTTTTGTGCATAAACTTACCAACAATAACAAATAACTACTAACTAATTAATAAGTATATAATGCCAAAAATCCCAAACAAACATAAGCATAAACATAAACACTAAATCCACATGTCGTCATGATCCCGCCGGAACCAAAGCGAGCCGCTCAGCCCGCCTTGCTCTCTCCCCTTTTCCCCTCCCCACCCACAGCAAAAAGCGAGTTTATCCATCCCCATCTATCTACACTAAAACCCCCCAAATTAAAAACACGAAGTTCAAAACCCAATCCCAATTTTTCTTTTGGAATAGACAAAGATAAATAAAAATTTCAAAAGATGACTTTAAGAAGAACTAAAAAAGATTGCAACTGCCGTGAATCGAACACGAACCTCCACCTTGGAAGGGTGGAATCCTAACCATTGGACCACAGAAGCTTGATGAGATTGTTGAATGTGAGACAATTCTTGTATTAGAATATAAATTATTAAGCAACAAAAGTGGGATGAAGACAAAGACAAGATGAGACCTCGGCTTCTTCATCTTCATCTTTCTCTTTTTTAGAAGGATATTATTGAATCATATTTGGGAGCATGAATGAAATTGATAATATTAAGAAAATTCCATTTATCTATTCTTTCTCCTCGAAAAATCACAATCTATTCACATTAACATAGTAACTCTATAAAAGTATCTCCCTCGAACCTCTCTACCTATCTCCAACTATCAAAAATTCTAATGCGTAGGAGCCAGCATTCGATGTAGTGGGGTACACTTCATCACGTGCTCAGAATTCCACCCTCGAGACACCAAACAGAACAGAACAGGTTCAAGGTTGATCTGGCACTTCTGAAGATTCCAGTTCGGAAGTAAAGTAAGTTAAGTAAAATACTCGGAATCAGAGTCAAGTCTTTACATGTCCATATACATATCGGTATTGTAGAAGAGAAATTAGAACTAAAGCATAGGATCGAGAGCATTAAGTGTTGTAAGAAAGGAAGTATATGCGAATATTCTGCGATTTATAGCAACGATTTTTTCACTCCCGTGAGCTCTTGCGAGATAGATATATTCACATTGACGGTAGATTGTGAGGGAGTAAAGGAGTCAGGAAGGCAGAGATGGAGGGAGTTCGAAGAAACAAGATAAGAAGATGATATAGAATCATTTCTTCGAAAAATTTCCTTCTGCTAAGTCCGTTGTATCTGTATAGCTTAAGTATACGAGATGTATACCTAGTATATAATCCCATTCTCATCATCACTTGTACAACAAACTAAAATCCTACTCTCACTCTCATTCCCGGTCTCACAATATATAGATATAGATATAGATATGCATACCAATTCCCCCAACTTCAAATCCCACAACACACCCGCGAAAAAGACAAAGAAGTGCATAAGGTCAATAGTACATGATATGATATAATATAGAACCAATATACCACACCATATCACAAGTAACAATCATATTCATGGGCATTGGGTAGATAGATAAAACATATACATGCCACTTCCATCAGCAGATATTTTCATATCAAAAGTCGAAGAGTCAGGATCTTAGGACGTTAGATATTTGTATGTACTACATACCTAATGTTGATGCATTGCCCCCAAGTAAATGATAGGTAGCCTTGATGTACTACCCCCAAGTAAACAATACCTAAGTAGCAAGTAATCTTACAATTCCCGTCAGAATCCGGGGTAAGATTCTTATAAGGCGCAGAAAGAAGCATGCATATGCATACCTACCTTCCTACCTACCTACCTCCCTAACTAGGCAGGTAAGGGTAAAATAAGCATAAATCACAACTCCAACCCCGATATCAGAGTTTCACACAAAAGTAAGCAATATGAAATACGTTACAACTACCGATCAATATCCATCGAAACTTCTTCTCCAAGTCCTTTAATGTTCTTTCATAGAAATATATTTTGCTCCCTGTGGTATCTGCTACGTAGTAGGTAGCACATTGAATGTAGCTACCGCAATCCTAAACTAGCAGAAGCAGAAAAAAGGCAAGGCCAAGAAGAGTCACTGAACAAGAGACTCTTCGAAACTATGATACAGACTCCCTTAAAAATCAAAAGGTATGAAGAAAAACTGGAACCAAAATGACATTTAAGTTAAAGATCGCCACCTAAGCCAAATCAATCATTCATTCATTTCGCTTTTACCAATTCATGCAACCCAAATACTTGTACAGTTCCTGTAAGGAAAAAGAAAACTCGTGGCCTAGGGAGCTCAATAAAACGTTGAAACAAAGATTGCTTATTTCTTCTCCGAGTGTTCGGTGCCATTGCGATTATTGTGATGATTGGCCGCCTTCTCCTTTCGAGCTTCGTCGATAGCAGTTCGTTGTTGTATACTAGAATCGTGAGACTTCCATTCTACCTTAGTTTCAGGTGGGAATGAAAGGACGCGCTTTAATGTCTCCCTGTTCAATCGTTAGTCTATTTTTTTGAGTATTTTGTAAAGTGTTGAATACCTAATTTTGAGTACCCTCCCGCCACCTGAACGGGTCCAGATACTCAAAATATCTTCTCCATTGCGCACGCTAAGTACAACCCCGCAAACTTCTTCACTGGGGTCGAACTCATCTCCAGCCATTGCGAAGACTAAATCTTCCCAATAACGATCAGCCACACCCTTCTTAAGTCTCACAATCCATTTGCCTCCTTTCTTGTTTTCATCGTCCTCCCAAACTGGACGAATTCCCTTTTTAAACATGTGGTAATCGGAAACTAGTGGCAGATTCGAGGGGTGTCTCATATGGTCGAAAACGTCAAACAACTCCTCCGCCGAATTGAATGCTGCCATTGGATGTAATGTCTTTTCGTATTCAACAAATCCGTTTGACTTGGAGATTGGGGGTCTGTACCAAAATACCCAGCCATGTCGAAATTGGTGTGAAGCCGGCGCTGTAGCCGTCTTAGAATCTGTAAGGGAAGTTTTAGATGTCTTTATTCCTAAATCTCTATAAGTCTTCTCGGCAGTTGGTGTTTTGGTCGATCCTCCCACTACACTTCCGAAATCCAGCGCACCTCCACCTCCAGGAGTTTTCGGGCCCTTCGAGTTTCCAAATGATGCGAAAGCGCCGGATCCTAATCCAAAGGCGCTCGATGCGCCCGTTGTTGGAGAGGATAAAGATGAGGCCGAGGGGGACATGGAATTGAAAGGGTTTTTTGTGCTGTGCGAAGAAGTGTCTCCATGTCTTCTTCCCAAGACAAATCCCCTTGCTGCATGGTCGCCACCACCAAGAGTTGATCCATTCGTAGTTGGATTGCCTGTGGATAGCGAAAGTTTGCTGGAACTGTACCACACTTTGATTAGAAGCGCTCAAAGAAAGAGACAATGCGGGAACGAAGAAGGAAATACTTACTTCGAACGGCGACTCCACAGGTTATCCATTACGAAAGGATGAATTAAAAATCTGATAACTATGCGCTTTATGTCAAACTGTCGAAGATGGCAATGTTATGAGCTTCCGTTTGTGACGTTGAATAAATTTCGAGATACGCTTGTAGGTAGAGATGTACACAAGCAAATGAGGTATCGGGTGATTTTTGTTGAACAAAGTAGCAAGTTAAGGATGTCGCAGAGGACTGGATTTGGGCGTGAAGGGGTGTTGGAATTTGCAGATGGTGTTCACTTATAAGGTGAGGATGGTTTCTAATTCTTGAGGTGATATCGTATTTGTATCGTATTGTACTGTATTGTATGTGATGTGATGTGAAGTGATGTGAAGTGACGGGTTATTGAAGGTTTTCCGATTTATAAATTGAAGGTTTCGATAAGTTTGCAGTTTAGGGTGGGTAATGATTAAAATGATGAAAATGTAGGAACGGCCAGAAAGTACTTTGTACTAGTATGTATGTATGTATCGCGGCAACTGAATCAATCTTAGACCTTAGAGCAGCGCGGGGCCTAAGGTGAATTTAGCGAACAACGCTAGTGTAAGAAATATTTTGTTTGATTTTTTTCCTTTCCGGTCTCTTCTTCTTCTTTCTTCAACAAACAAGACCATTAACTCAAATCATCGACAGTTTGATATATTCACCACTCAACTGCCGATTCCGATAACTTGGTCAAGAAGAAATATATTACCACTTCAAAACCATCGTCACGAGGGCCCCTCGTGCGGCTTCCATGACACGATGATGACCTAAAGATGGAAACATACTACACCTTCCAAACATTGGATTATTAGACAAGAAAGGAAGCAATGGGCAGTGACATGGGAGACGAGGATGAATAATGATGATGCTAATAGGGTAAGCACACTTGGAATACTATATGTATTGAATGGAATGAATGATGATATGAGGACAACACAACTCTGGTAATACGATTCAACCGCCATGTTCCACGGAATACATGTTCGCTGTGTTGAAGTTGAGATGACATTGGCAAAGACTGATCTTTTGATGGAAGCTTTCAATTGTCGGGATTGATCATGACTCTTTTCAATGCTGACTTCACATTAAGTCTATAGTCAAACATAAATTGCATCTCTATCTATGCTTGGTTCCTTGTTTCCCTTCACCAGATAAATGTGTTCATGATTATCTACTAGTTGTGTAGATGGGTGCGCGGCGATGAGTGTCAATACCTAGTTAGTGCGATAAATTTCATAAATTGAAGAACATGGCCTCTCTCAACCTTCAAATCTGACTCATTTCTATTATTGTTCTATGATTACCCGTAGACTCTATCTCCTCATCTATTCATCACGTTTCTCAAAATCATAACCCAGCTCTTCCAGAGACTTTGCTTTCTCGCCATCTTCAATGAAACGCTTTCGTATGTCTGCATATAACTCTCTCATCCACAACTTCTTTTCATCCCAATACGTTGGCTCCTTACTGAATCCTCCTTTGGCACCTTTCACCCAATCGTGTAAACCATTTATATAATTTGCGTCGTGAGGGTACCCAAATATGTGGAAAGACGTGCCATTACCATGTTCTTTCACCCTTTCCTGCTCCCATAAGTTCATTTCTTCCTTACTAGGCAAGTCCAACTTGTTCGACCAAACTTTTGAAACTGCTGCACTTTGGACTTCAGATATTGGGAACGGGATAACTTTTTGTGCCAAGGCGGTAAATGCAAGAGTTGGATGCTGAATATCAAATAGATGTTGGTATGAGCCCACCACTCGTCGACCAGTGGTGACAACGGGTGGTTTCAACGAATTGAGGAATGGATAAGAGTAGAAGTACCCCGTGCAGTATACTATGGCATCGACGTCTCTTTCTATCCTTCCATTGTCAAATCTCACACCCCTAATGTCGGCGAGGTATTCTGAAATTGGAGGGACCTCTTCCTTCCCATCTTCTCCGTCGCCAAAGGAAGTTCTTACTGAGTTTAATAGAGGCTTCTTACAAACCTTACTGATCTGCGTTCCAATATCCAATCCCGAGGCTCCACTTCCAACCACGATTACTTTCTTGCCTACAAATGAATCGGGCGAACGAAATATTTTGGAGTGTGATATGATGGAGGGATGAGTCGAGTTAAACTCCTTAATCCCTGGTACATCAGGTATGAAAGGGACGGAATAGTGACCATTTGCGACAATAACGGCATCGTACGTCTCTTTGATCTCGTCGTTGGTGATTGTAGATCTAGAGATGATTCGCCATCGATCATGACCATTGTCTGGCTCTAACCTTATATCTTGGACTTGCTCGGAGAAGCGAACTAGATGTCTGACATCACCAGAATAGTGTACAAGGTATTCTTGAACGTCTTCGCGTGTAGGGAATAGCAGAGAGTCGGAGCGAAATGGCCGATCAGAGAAACACATTAACGGCTTGGGAATATTTGTGTGCAAACGATCATACATGGGATTTGAGAAAATGGGAGGGGTTCCGTCCTTTGGCCAAATCGGCATCTCAGGAGATACATTTGGCGAAGTTGATGGGATGGGCACACCATTACTTATATTTGGGGTGTAATTCCATACTCCTCCCACTTCAGCTTGCTGCTCAATGATATCGATCTTATCAAAGTACTGTTCCGCCAGAAGAAATTTTGCTGCCGCCAGTCCGGAAGGACCTGCACCTACAATTGCAATTCGCTTGACATTGAACGATGCTCGAATTCTGGAGTTCATTGTGAAGATTTCGAGATGATCTTGGATATCTCTTCAGTTTCACTTATTAGACTTGTGGTAATATATGTGTTGATTTAATTTTTTTGCACTGGAAATATATGTAGGTAAAAGGGCATCAGAAGTTTAAGAACATTTAAATATCTGTCGTATTGTAGAATAAGGAATACTTTTTCAAATATATAGAAGAAAATCATGTGTATAAAAGCAAAGATGCGGCTGACTATTGTTCCCTTTTATTCTTTGCGTCACTGCGCTATCTATCAGCGAGACGTGCTTCAGCAGGGGTCATCACATCGGCAAAACTTTAAAAATATTCCGATGACGCCCATCCCATCGCAAGCTAACGAAGCTCCCATCACAGCAGGAATCCACAAACGCGCTCTGCAACCTCGAAGCAAAACAATTATTCACGCACAAGGCTACGATACGGTTCATCGATTCATCACTACGGAAAGTAATTGCTTATTTCCCAATGACCAGCATTTAAAGCAGGAATTCTCCATTTTACAATGGCAGAAACTATAGCAGCTGCAAATGGAATTCCAAACTCCACAACAATGTCAACGTTAGAGCCAACCACGCATATCCCAATCGCGCAGCTTACGCCATTACTGCCAGCGTCAGCTTCGAGATCAGTAAAAGCGGTAGTGACTCTCACATGGCCATATAGTTCCCGTACGGGTTCTGTGGCTTTCTTACTTGCCGAACCCGATTTCCGCTTGCGCAGAATCAGAGGCCAAGTGCGCGTACAGTTTTCAGGATCGTCTGCGAATGCTATTGCGAAATCTGGTATCACTAGTGGAGATGAAGTGATCTTATGTTTAGATGGAGTGGAATATGTGGGAACTGAAGCTCCAAGTGCGACACCTGGAAGGGGTGTGGAGTTTGAATTAAAGTTCACAGACAAACTGCTACTCCAGGTAAGAATAAAATTTAACTTTCATATACCATGGTCTAATTATTCTTCTTGCAGTTTCGCCCTGAAGATTCTCAAGACGTCAAGTTTATCAGCATCGAAAAACCAGATCCCGAAGCTGTTCAGACAAATGCGTCCCCGCCCACCCCAGCGATAGATCTAGAGACCGAAAACCAAACCCCAGAAATCCCAGCAACGCCTGTTTCATTTTTCAAGCAAGTGGCTTCACAGAATGTAGAGGAGTACTCCTCTCCGGCTTTCCTAAAACGTGAGCGATTATCATACGGTTCAATGTTCGAAGAAGGCTATGATCCATTTGACGTTGAAGATGGGTCAGTCCGTGGTAAAGGTAGGAAGAGAACTAGACTCAGCACATCATGGCGATTTATGAGCAGGTCACCAAGTCCCAGTCCAGAGGTCGAAGAGCCGATGGCAGCATCTTCTGAGAATGGTGTTGAGGAGCCAGTGAACCAACATGCGCCATCAATGACGGATGAGGGTGTTCAAACTATAGAGCTTGAAACTGAGGTGGTTGCCGAAGCGACGCAAACACTAGACCAAGATCAGCCTAGGATGACTGAGGAAGCGGAGACAAATGGCATTGTGCAGGCTGTGTATGCAGAAGATCCATTACAGGGAACACCACAGGTCGAAGATGGGAACACAAATCCAATGCCGCCTCCACATAAAGTGACTGATTCTATCGTTCCAGACATTGAGCCACGGGAAATCTTGTCGGACAAAATAGTTGAAAAGTTACCTTCTTCCCCACAACTACGACCTTTGGCATCAGAAGGTCTTCCTTTAGTCCCTCCACTGGTAACAAACCGAGCTGAGAAGTTCAACAACTATATACACAATGAGCATGCTCAAGACCTCGAAATACCAAATGCTCCAGATGCGCTTCCATCAGAGTCTGATACACCGATATCAGGTCACAGAGAAGAAGGTGATGTGTATGATGCCAGTCCTCTGCATCACTCAAACAATCAGTCGAAGTCGGACCAGACAACCTATAATACCTCGTCAATTCTTTCTGGAGATCAGTATGACACCCTAAATACTCAGAGCACGCTTCCTCCTCACCAGCAACGTCAAAATGAGGTTGAGGACGGTGCTGATCAATTATTTGCCCCGTACAATGCTCCTGGGCCAGATTCCTATACGTCAGTCGGCGTTTACGAAGAGATACAGGAAGAACAAGGCCGATTCGTTCCCCCCGAAATGGAGGAGGGCATGGATCAATACAACTATCCCGATCCAGAGCAGACTTACACAGAACCAGACAATTGGACAACTCAGCCTAGCATGGCCTATCCCGATTTTGGAGACAGTCATCAACAAAGTGCCAGTTTATACCATCAATTTCCCTCCGCGGCATCTATGATTCGGTCTCAAAGCGATCAATCTCATCGATCTAGTCACACCAATCAATCGCATCACTCTCCCCCATCTCAAGTTGTAGACTTGACCGAGAGTAGTGATGAGGATGCAGATGAGGATGCAGAGGGATTTCTTGAAGTCGAAGATAGTAGTGAGCAGCAGCTGTCCAACTCGGCTTTCCCGGTGGAGCATGGCGAACAAGGTCTCTACTATGATACAAGGGAAGAAGATCTTGACGAGAAGATTACTTCCGATGATCAGAACGAAACAGATGACTATGGACAAGGCTACTTTGACGAAAATGATGAGAATATAGATTCGATGGGTAGAGGCAACTATCCCGAAGATTATGAAAACGGCAGTGAAGAAGATTACGATGAAGATAGTTATAGTGAGGATGAGACAAGTAATCAAGCGCCAGTAAAGCAACAGCCCGAGGTAATAGATCTTTTGTCCTCGGATGATGAAGATGAGGAGCCAGCGAAAGCCCCAGTTTCTCAAATCAGAAACAATGTTAAGATTGACGAGAAAATTGGATCGGGGGAAGAGTCAGAGGAATACGAGGATGACGGAGAGGAAGAAGAGGACGACGAAGAGGAGGAAGAGAAAGAGGGAGATGGAAGTCTGGATATTGTTGGCGAACAAGTTCAAAATGTTAGCATTCGCTCTACAAAGTCCCAAGAATTCGTGAAGGAGTCTTCGGAAGAGTCAGTTGAAGAGGAGCCAATGGCAAGTGAAAGAATGCTAGTCAATGACTGCATCGACACCATCAAACACGACGCAGAAATGCCTGAAAATGTATTGAATACATCGGGCTCTGGTCTTGACGCGCAAATGGATGCAGATGAAAGCGTGCCTGAGCCAGAGGGCGCAAAGCAATCTCCACCACAAGAAAATCTCGAGGATGAAACGGCTATCGAACTAGATTCTACTGAGCCTATGGATATCGAGACCAGTATATCCAATCCATCTGCTGCCATTGACAAAATGGATATCGATAATACTACAGACAATCTCGACGGTTTACTCGAAAAGCTAGAGGAAGTGGGTTCAGAACAACAGCTGGAACAGGGTTCTGCAAATATCAACAGTGATGGACCCCAGAGTGATGATGAAATTTTCAAGAACGGCGTCGAGACTGTTGAAAATGAGGATATTGAACAAAATTCGAATGAAGCACATGTTGAGGAGACTTCTTCACAAGGACCCAAACCAATCGAAATGACGGACGATATACGAACAGCGACCGAATTTGTACCTGGCCGTATACTGGCCGGTGGCAATGCAAATACTATGAGTGTTGCACTCGAAAATCTCCTACCATCGCCAATCACCTTAGAGACTTCTAATGTTTCACCCGTACCCATTTCCACAGATCAAAGTATTAAGGATCGAGCTGCCAAGTCTGGTTGGGCAAGGTCTCCTAAAGGGTCTACCCTGTTTTCGAGAACTTTTGGTATAGATGGCGCAAACGATACGAGCGATGCAAATGATGCCAGTGATGAGGGCAACAAAGATAAAAAAGATCTAATCTCTTCTCCTGCGATGCCAGCAACTGAATTAGAAGACAAACCAGAGTTGATTGATGAATCAGAGCAGGTGTCACAGTCCCAAAGCACTACTAATGCCATTGATACCACCCCAGACCATCAGAATGATCAGCTTCCAACACCTGACGATACCCAAAAGCAGATCATCGATGAGAACATTGATGAGAATATTGATGAGAATGTTGATGAGAATGTTGATGGGGACGATGATGAGGACGATGATGAGGACGATGATGAGGACGCATTAACTTCGATGTCAGATCTACTTCAACTTCAGTTACAAGAAGAGATGGGGGAGATGGATGAAGATACAGATATGATGAAAACTGATGCAGGCGTCGAGAAGCATTCATCATCGGACTTACTTGAGAATGAAGACACAAATTCTTCTCAAGGGGAGCCTGACACGATTTTATATACAGCTCCAGGCACAGGTGCGATAGACGAAGACGACGAAATGATTGATCCCGAGTCCGAAGACATAGAGGTTCAATTTACCAAGACAGAAATACTTGAGCTCAAAGAGTTCGAAACTACTGAGATCGAGGTCAGGAAGGTCAGCGAAGAGATTATCGAGGACGATATAGCAGGGATTGCGGAGGAAGACGATGTTGAGGTAAATCAAGGAGAAAATTACGAAGAGATAGATTCAGTAGTTGATGAAGATGAGGAGTCTGGGAAGAGAGATTTGGAGATGCATGAAGGTGGAGCGTTCGAAGAGGGAGTTTCGGATGTTGGTGAAGATGAGGTATTCAGGGAGGGCGCTTCGGATGTTGATGAGGATGAGGCGTTTAGGGAGGGCGTTTCGGATGTTGAAGATGAAGAATCTGGAGAGGGAGAAGGAGAGAACGAGGCGTTTAGGGAGGGCGTTTCGGATGTTGAAGATGAAGAGTTTGGAGAGGGAGAGGCGGAGATCGAACAAATCGAAATTAGTGTCAGGGAAGCCGAAACAACGGAGTTCAAAACCCAACAGACTCTTGCAAAGTTGGCCGAAAACAGTATTTTCGAGAAAGACTTCAAGAATTTTGACGTCAGGGAAGAATATGTCGAGCAAACCATTGAGGAGACTGAAGCTGTCGCCGATGAAACCGAAGCCTTTGTGTCGGAGAAATTCAGACGAGCACCTTCCAATGCTTTATCTTCCTTAAGAAGTCGAAGCCGCAAAGAATCTACACCTGAATCTAGGAAGAGCAAAAAAGAATCAACACCGGTCAGCCCTAGACAAACATGGTCCAGCAAAAATCTTTCACTTTCACCTGATTTCAAGAGGAGTAGGAAAGGATCAGCGACTGTAAGTCCTAGACAAACACGGTCTAAGAAGTTGGAGTCAGTTGTGGAGGGCATCCCTCCTTTTACACCAATAAAGTCCAACAAAGAGAACGAGAGGTCATCTACACGTGGTAGCAATCGGTCTAAAAGGTCACCATCTCTAGTTCTTGACGAAGAGAAAACACCAAAGGGTCCGGATACGAGCGCTGAAATGGCAATACTTGGATTGCCCGAATCGCCTACAAAAGCTGGCCATCACCTAAGAGCACCAGCAACTACCGATCCAAAACTCCGTCTGACCAAATATCTTCGTACCGATTTGAGTGAATACACAACTCTCAAAATGCTTCGTTTCAAAATGAATTCCAAACTGGATATTTTGGCAATCGCTACAAGTGTACCTACTGAACCTCAAAGAGCGAAGTCGGGACCGAGACACTACACTAGCACCTTCACCATTACCGATCAAACTATAGCTCCTTCCGGCGTAGTGGAAGTAAAAATCTTCCGTCCATACAGAGATGCTCTCCCCACACCTGAAATTGGAGATGGTATATTACTGAGAGATTTCAGCGTCTTATCAGTCAAAGGCAGAGGTTTCACATTGAAATCTGAAGAAGAGAGTAGCTGGGCAGTGTTCAAGGATGAGGGTACAGAAATAGAAGTTCGGGGACCTCCTGTTGAATATGGTCATGGGGAAAAGAAACACATGAAAGAATTGAGAGAGTGGTTTCATGCACTCGATGATCGTCAGAAGACGAAGTTAGAGAAGGTTAGTGCAGCGATGGAGAAGGATCCTCAGGGAAAGAGTACCACGGAAAAGGGAAAGAAGTGAGGGAAATATGGATTTCCATCTCTAGGGTTGAGATGTGAGGCGTTTCACGGAGTTTCATTGAGGGCAGGACTATATGTATAGATAAGTGTATTTTATAATGACTGCGGCGTATGGAGGGTAAACTCCTTTGGGACATAAACACAAAGATTCACCGAAGTTTACGGAAATCCGATAATGAGAACTTTCTGGGGAGATGAGATGAGTACATTTAGCTAGCGATCTTGTTCTTTGAAATAGCAATGCATCAACCAGTATTTGATGCGTACCGTCAGAAATAAATTGAAGTTGAATATTTGTTATGATATTAATGTGGTATGGTGTGCTTGTGATGCAATGAGTATTTTTCGAGAACCTCATTCCCTTGGCATTTGGTAGAATTTTGGTCGGATGAATTATACTATAGATCGTGATCTTTTAGTGAAGAGGACCACCAGTGTGCATGGATTGACGGGACACTTCCCAACTTTCGATATTCTTAACAAATTCAATCTTTGATTGTTTGATATGAGACTTCACAATTTGATTGTTTCAAGTCTAATAAACAATTATAATAGTTCTTAAGAAATATGATTTGATTCATTGAGAGATATTCACAAGTCAATTTTTATAGTGTCCCGTCAGTCCGTACACCCACTAATAGACGCACCTAGGCATTCAATAATGGCAAATATAGATTTTACTACTAAAACACAAACACGAGTTGTCTGGTTGTTGATGCTGGTGGACAAGAAAGAGAGGATATACTCTCTGAAATGGGTGAGTGATTGAATCTATAGGTGTATGTGGATTGAAGAATGACTCGAATATATCAGCACGCGTATTTTTCAGCATGCATATCGAGTGCGCAGTTCATGCATGCATGTGTGTACGTACTATGTATCCCAATAGGAAGAGCTGAAAATCCTCAGCAGATTCTTGGCTTATCACACAAAACATATTATTCGATCCCGTGGGGTAAGTAAGCAAGTAAGTATACCAATTTCGCTTTCTACATCATATGTGAATCATACCCTGAAAACAACTCACTCCTCAGTAATGGACCCCTTAAGTGTATCCGCCAGTTTGATAGCCGTCCTTCAAATCACCGGTTCCTTGATATCTTTCTGCTATGATTATCGTCAAGGTGTCAAACATGCTTCGAAGGAAGTCGTGCAGATTTCCGATGAATTGAATAGTTTGAGAGATATTTTGGATTCGTTGCTTAAACTTGCTGAGAAGGCGGAATTGAATGGTTTCTCCCAGCTCTCGACATTTGAATTGTTGTTGAAGGATGATGGGCCGCTTTTGGTGTGTAAAAATGAGTTGGAGAAGTTGAAGGGGAAGCTGGAGAAAGGGGGCGTGGGTGGGAGCGAGGGGTGGAGGGCAATTAGGGAGAGATTGGTTTGGCCGTTGAAAGAGGGTGAGGTGAGGAAGACGTTGGTGGTGTTGGAGAGGTTGAAGAGTACGTTGGCTTTGGGGCTGAGTGCTGATCAGACGTGAGTTTGATGTATTGTTTGGGAGTTGAAGTGCTTATGAGTGGTAGGAATCTGGCCTTGAATCTTACGAATAGGATTGAAAATCAATTTGCAGGTAAGAATCTGGTTTTGGCAATTTACGGATCTGGTCTACGGGTTAGATTCGAGAGTTGTCGTGAATATGGCGGAGCCTGTCAATAGAAAATCATGTTCATGGTCATGGACGAGGGATGTCATGTGAAAATCGCTTCAGCAATTTTCTCGTCTTGAAATACTGTCCAGACTATTAACACATCGTACAGATCAAACGGTGCGAGATATTTATCAATGGCTAGCTGCGCCAGACCCATTTCCTACTCATTCTGCAACATTGAAGAAACATCAACCAAAGACTGGAGCATGGTTCATAACAAGCAAGCAGTACGAAGATTGGTATCTTGGTAATGATGCCTTTCTATGGCTTTATGGTATTCGTAAGTTGAATGATTTTGAGTAAAGTTTTGACTGATTCATTGATATCAGCTGGTAGTGGGAAGACTGTATTATGGTAACAAGCATTCTGAAGTTTCCTTGAACTATTAATAACTTACAATTATTCGTTAGTTCTACAATCGTAGAGCATTTGATGACTCAAGTTCAACAACACCCCAAGATAGCACTCGCATACTTTTATTTCGACTTCAATGGAGATTTGAATGGCGCGCTCAAATCTTTGATTACTCAACTCTCGGCACAAAGTAGTGATATTCCTCGGCCATTGTCAAATCTTTACGAGGGATTAAGCACAAAGACGTCGACATCGCCAACGGACGAGGCGCTTCTTGAATGCTTTCGTAACATTCTATTATCTTTCCATCATGTCTACATAGTCTTTGATGCGCTAGATGAAGCTGCTAAAAATACAGAAGTTCTGTCATTTATTTCTACTATAAAAGCATGGAAGTATCAGAGACTGCGCTTACTGGTTACTAGTAGACAATTAACCGAGATAGAAGAAGTTCTATCTCCTTTGGTCAGTGATCGAATGTGCTTGCAGGATAATATGTCAGCGAGAAGTGATATTAGATATTTCGTCTCCGAGAAAATAGAGCACGATAAAATAATGTCAAAATGGCCGCAAGATATTCGAGACCAAATTGAGTTCAAACTGACTCGAGAGGGAGATGGCATGTAAGTATCCGGGGCCCTTCTCTAAAAATTTGAAGAATTTATCTTGACGTTAATATAGGTTCAGATGGGTAGTCTGCCAATTAGATATGTTTCGAAAATGCACTAGCGTATCAGCAATACGGAAAGCGATGAAAACATTGCCCAAAAGTCTGGATGAGACTTACGAGCGAATATTGCAACAGATTGATGTTGACCATCGATCCGAAGTTTCGAAGATTCTTCAAGCGCTCACAGTAGCTGCAAAGCCCTTGAATGTCGAGGAGTTGGTTGAAATTCTAGCCATAGATTTCGATTCCGATCTCCCGTGCTTTGATGAAGATTCTCGACTGCTCAATCCTGAAATAGTTCTTTCTATATGTTCGTCTCTTGTGACCAAATTTGAACCAAGATCAGGGCACGATGGAGAGTTTAAGAATAGATTGAAAAGAGACTCAACGAAACAGGAATCCAGATATGGTTCACCTGGCGTGAAACTCGCACATGCATCTGTAGCGGATTATCTCACTCACTCCACAACCTCACCATTCCACTACACTCAATATACAGCGCGTCAATTTATGGCTCAGGCTTGCCTGGCATACCTACTCAATCCCGAATTCTCCCGAGGTCATGAACGAGACTTACTCAAGAGTCGCTATCGAAAGTATCCCTTTCTTCGTCACCTCACTATAAACTGGCCACGATACGTCAACAAAGAACCTGGCGATCCCGATGACTATCTTGCACCACGTACTCGGAAACTCCTCCATGCTTTTTTCGAAACTCACAATCTCGAGAACGGTGGAAATTTCGCTTTCTGGCTTGGCATGATGATGCCATCTGCGCCTGCAAATGATTCGTGCGTGTCGAGAACACATCCTCTTTACTACGCAGCATCTTTTGGACTTACAGATATTGTGCGCATTATCTTGGATTCAGAGACAGATATCGATATTAATGCACTTGGAGGACGAGCACATGCGACGGCTTTACATGTCGCCTGTTACAGAGATCATTATGAAGTGGCAAAGCTCTTGCTCGAGAGAGGTGCGGATCCGAATACCCCTAATGTTTTCGGAGAAAGTCCTATATATTGGGCCAGTACTAACAATCCAGACGGGAGTATGGTGGAGTTGTTGTTGGAGCACGGAGCAGATAGGGCAGGGCGTAAGAGATGGACTTCAGTGAATGATATACCGGAAGTTCCTACGGTTCTGTGTCACCGATAGTTCACGATAGACGACTTTTGTTGAAAATATCAGATGTTAGGAGTAGGGTTTCTCGAGGTATCTTAGTTGAAACTCCTATCATCCATGATTTTCTTTTGACTTCTTGATTGTGAATTTGCATCCACGGAGACACGGCACGCTGATGAGGATAGCTTGCCCTAGTGGGGCGCCACAATCTACTCCGTATTAGCATACCTATTGCGGGCCTGTACGAGGATGTGATGATAGACACAGATTTCCTTGTAGATAGCAGGGGAGTTTGAAGAAGAGCTGGGGTAAGCAGCTAGGCTCGGGGTGGACGGAAAAACTGGGACGCCCCATCACCAAATTTACAGAATCTCTAATAATACCTGTATCTCGATCTTGTGTTTTGATAGCAGTTTAGTGATAACATGATAGTACTTAATCTAGTTGTTTCTTAAAGATAAAGGTTTATATTAATTGATGTTGCCACTGATTGCGTGACCTTCGAAAGATCAGGCAGGCTATGCAGTTACTTTCACTATCTAGGTATCTATGTCAGTTTAATCTTGACGCTGATAAAGCTCCCTGCGTTGTTGACTTATGCAGGATCAAGCAAAGAGGAAGAATACATTAAAGTAAGTACTAGAAGCGAAGGAGAAATCCGAAATAAAAATACGCCATCTGAAGGATATCACCCAAGTCGTCTTATGGTGTTCTTCCACTCTGAACCTTGAACTCTCTCTGCAGAAGAAGGATTGGGCAGAGGGGTTGAGACGAAAGACGAATGTCACAAATCGATGTCAGTCAAGTTACCATCGCAGCCGGGCTTAGCTCTCTTCGTCGCTGCCGGTTTGAAGTTCTACACAGCTTTCCTCACTAGAAACTCTGACACACAACTAAAGAGATAATCTGAGGAGGAAGATACTTGAATATGCTTACACTCAAGTACCTGGATATACTTATTATATCTATTTTCTCTCTTCTCTCGGCCCTAGCCACTATGAAGTCCCATTATACCAAGAGTATTATGGAGTGAGACGATAGGATAGGATGATCTGTTCGATTTAAATGAAAGATTGGTGAAATGGAATCTATGAAATCTACTTCATGTTAGTATCTAGACGAATTGATTGGAATAAGAAAAGTGATCTTTGTGCGTGCAAAGGAGGAAACAACTATTCATAATGGTGTATAGGTGAATTAG